ACAGAGGCGTTCATAACCCGAGGTACCACTGTATTTAGTTTTGTACAATGTAGAGATGGTTTCAACTTCTGTTAAAACTTACTTTGATAAAGAGTGCCTAAACTTTGCATACAGCTGCATTAGGTAGTTCATTGTAATAAATAAAAACTCGAATTAATAATTACAGTGTTTCATTTATTACAACTCAGCTTCCTTAGTAAGAGCATTCCTTAAAATCTAATAGATAATAGTTATCAATATGAATTTCTAGAGGTTGCACACATCACAAAATGATCATACATACATACCTATCACACTCTTCCTTTTTGGAGTAAGCAATGTTATGTAAGAACATTAAAAAGAATTAAGAAATATTAAGCCAAAAAAAATCAAGGTATGAGATAACAAAAGATAATGGCATTTTTTTCATTCAGCAGCCACTGTTTTCTTTTACAGTCAAAACCAATTTCATTGTTTTGCAATATGTACTTTTTCTGATGCAATATGAACATTACAACAGGCAGAAAGGAATTAGAGTGGGATATTCATATATGTCATGAAAATGGCTTTAAGGAGTTTAAGGATAATAAACAAAAGAATATGCTCAAAATTTATTAGAATAGCAGACACAGGCATACTCCAATCTCTGTTATGAACCACTCTCTTTTTTATTCTAGAAGTGTAATATTTATTTATTTGCTGGTGCTTATATGCCATTCCAATCCAGCAGGACATGAGGCAAGTTATGAACTGAACTGTATCTATTTTGGGGACGGGGGCGGGCGAGTGGAGTGTCCATTGTTAGATGTAATTCTAGGCCTACAGCCTTCCCCTATTTCTTGGTCTTTAGATATGTTGGACTACACTTCCTATCAATTCTAGCTAGTATGACCAACACCCTCTTTGTTCATCAGCCCTGTTAGTCTCTCCATTTTAGGTCACAAATTGTTTTTATGGAGTTCAGCTTTGAGTTGACTTTTGCCATAAAAAAGTTAAATCACGGTCAGCCAGTTTTTCTCATGAAAATCATTCTGAGAATTCAAACACCATTTCTGCAAAGAGATAGCAATCTGTGATAAGAGAACAATCCTGCCCTTCAGAAAAACTCATAACTTAGAGGCCTGACCTTATGTAACAGAGTTTTGCAAACCAGACTTTCTTAACCCCTGGCATGAAATGTCTCTATCCAGGAGCAAATTAAATTGCAAAATGCTCAGACAACAGGCATTGTGTCGGTACAGACTGAGTATGTACAGTCCTTTACTTAAAGACTATGCTGTAATATCAGAGGAAAGCGAAGCAACAGATCTTGCTCCCTAATGAAGCTATTGCTATTTACTGAATTGTTTTTAGACACAGGAATATGTTTCACAGTTTAAGTGTATCTACACAATAAGCGGGCCTTCTTTATCATTACCTTCTCTATCATTCAGTGCTGTCTATTTTGTTTGTGCCTACAGTCACAAGTACCTATTGGGTTGTTACAAAGTAGTACCTTTTCCATATTTTATAAAGAAGATAATTCAAAAAGAAATTGAATGGCACTCTGTTATAATAGAAAATTTAACAAAAGAGGAGGGATGAGAAGGATTTAGCCACAATTTGATGGAGCTGCCCTACAAATTATTTCTGATAACTTTGAGAGAAAATGTTTGTATGAGAACTGGATGGTCACCTCTTCTCCAAATGTAAGCAATGTTTTAGTAAGTGGTACTGGACTTTGGAGACCTTGATCTTTAATAGCTAGATGCACTAATGGAATACATTCTGGTGCTCCATTTATAGGTGGATAAGAGCTAGTAGAAGATACTGCACAACAATGTGCAAGACTGTATGTTTACCACTTTTGAATTCCAACTCAAGTTGTTTTCACTGTAACAATTGATAGACTGCAATGTGATCACAGCTATTGCTTTTTTTAAAATGGTATATAAAAAATAAGTGTAATTCACAAGTTCCCACAGATAGTGCCTAGTGGAAAATATATATCCAAGTTTTAGAATTAACCAGAACTCTTAACATTCTAAAAAGAAAGACAAACACTACATAAAACACATTGTTATAGGAGATAGTTTAACACAACCTCAGATGCATGATCAACTTACTCCATTTCATAAAAATCTATGTACATATAGATACTACTGTCCTTGTAATGCACAGATTTCAAACCATAATACAACAACCCCCTAGAAACATAAACTGCTAATGCAGAGCCTGTTGACAAACAATGAGAAATACAGAGAATGAGATACAGCAGCACAGAGGGAATGATGTATTTCTTGATGACTGTTTTTATGATTGTTCCAACAAGAATCAGAAAAAGCTAGTTTTAAGTTTAATTGTTGGAGTGGAATGTACTGTGGGTGGTGGTTGCCTGGCAGCTGCCTTTGCTCTGCTCGCCTGACTTGCTCGTACTGCAATTTCCAGTCGTGCTTTCAGTTCAGGAGCTGCTCCCATTACTGTCTTAAAGGCATGAGGATAGAGGGGTCCAATGCGGGTTAGATCTTGGAGGGCAAACTCGTGAAGTTCTTTAGATACCAGGGATGCAGAAGAGAATGCATTTTCATTCAGTAAATAAGATATGAGAGTAGGAACAAGAAGAGCAAGCAACTGCACTCCTAAGGAAAAAAATAAATCAATTAAAATAATTAAAATTCAAGACTGACAATGTGGGATGTACTCAGAATGTGTAACTGTTAATATATTAGCATTAGAAAATAAACATTCCAAAAATAAGGACAATACATTTCTTCTTGATAAAATTCTAAAATGCCCAGTGGTAGAGAATAGAATAACTATTTTTAGGGCCTTCACATCATTCAGCAATGTGCTCAGATCTAGCCTAGAAAATATTTCCCTAAAGTGCTTGGTTACTATGGGGACAGTTATAGAATAAAACTACATTTAGCAATATATTGAAGAGGAGGTGACTTTTATAGATATGCTATTTGAATTTGTGACACAAATAAGAGAATTAGAATATCATAAGCTCATATCTCAAATTTGTTTGCCACAGATAGATGCTCTCTCAAGCATGTGGAGAGGGTCTGCCTGTGTAGATTGCCTTGTTCCTTTTAATAGAAATATTTATGCTTAGTTGTTTCATGCGTTTGTGGACAAAAATACGCCTATTAAAGTGAAAAACGTATATCTACCCATCCAAGTACATGTCCATAACAGGATGATAATCTGTAAACATAGTAATTTTTACATGGAAATTATTTATTAGAAATTCTGTGTTTTAGGGCAGTGTACTGCAAACTAGGGACCATTTTTTGCTGATTAAACCAATAGGTATCCTTCACCCTTAAAGTCCAAAGGAAGCTGTTTTTCTCAAATACCTCACAGAACAAATGCTAGACATTTTCCTTAGAATGATATTATCTCCAGTTAACTTTGTCTCCCAGAATTTTAACTGCTGTAGACTTTGTGTCAGAATATTGCAAAATATGCTTGGAATATCATTGCCTCAAATTTAGGAAAGGGAGGGTAAGTGCTGCACAGAACCAAAATGTGTGGCACAATGTGAGATACATTCAATCTAGTGTTTCCAAAAATGCTTCAGATTTTTCAGCTTGCTAATGTGCTCCAAGAAGTCAATTCTCAATCAAGGTACTTACTATTATGCTCCTCACCGAGAGCAACCAGTGTTTCAAGAACTTTAATTCCTTCCTGGATTGCTAAGAGTTCTGTTTTGTTGTTTGGACGGTTCTTCTCCACACTTTTCAGTTTCTCAACCATTATTGGTGCCAGGGAATGTATATATGGAGTAGAAAGGGCACGATTTGTGTGTTGAAATATAGAAAGTAGAAGATGGTAACATTTGGCTTGAACCTAACCGCAATATATAAATATAGTTGTGTTAGTAAGAATTTGCCATAAAAGATCACACTCAGGTAATAATGTTAAAAGAACAAAAGGCAAATCAAATTGTAATAAAAGAAGGTATAGAGGGGTGACAAGACTTTATATCAGAGAAGTCACATTTATTATCTGTCTTGCAAATCTTTTCATCATGAAGACATTTCCTTAGCTTATCTTTCTGTGGATTACATGCATGTCAAAAATCACACACTACATTCATAACATATGCAGGTCTATTCTCATTGGAATCAATCAAATACTTCTTTTAAAAACCTAACTAGCAGCGACAGTAATGGGGATTTTTGGAGGGGTCACATAGCATTAAGCCTGTTTTTTCCACTGCTGCAACCCAAACCAAATTGTACCTTCTGGAAATAGGCAAAAAAAAAAAAAAAGATTAACTATTTCAGAGTGGTTTATAATAGTAAGAAAAATGATCCTTTTAGATAACTGAACTCATGGCTAATCCCTTTATACTATAAATCTTACTATTTCCCCCAGTCTGAATATATTTAAGCCACATACCATTGCAATTTCCAGAAAGATTTAATAGAAAACTTTGTGGAAATTTATTGTTGTTGTTTTAAGGAAGTAGGAAGGGGAAAAAAAAAAAACAAGAGCATATAAAACTACTTTTGGCCTATTTTTAAATTGGACATTTAGCTACTGATAGTAAGGAACAGTTTATTCCAAAACTGTTCACAATTATGGCTTCTGCTTATAAAGAGGAAATTAATGTAAAACAATATTAATCAGTTTCAATTTAAAAAGTAAAATCTGCACTACTATGCACATAGTAACCAGATGTTGCATAGTTGATAATATATACTGATATTCCTCTAAATGTTTCAAGTGTAAAAATTATACAATGTTCCTGCTCAAGTGCAAATCTGCTTCAAGCATGAGATGGGCTATTGTATTTTAGATGCATTTTGAACTCAAATGCTTATAATAGCCAAGTTTTGCATTTGAAATAGCAGTTCCATATGCAAAGTGGAACATTGCATGAACTTTCACACATGAAATGCTTCAAACCCATAATACAGATACATATTCTCATTTAAGGCATTCTAGCCAATATGATCCTTTTTCAACAATATGAATAATCAATGCTTCAATTGAGACAACAATGTTTATCAGATAAACTGGCTTGTCAAATGTTTTATTACTGAACTGAGCTCCAGTATTATTTACCTACTTTTATTAAATTATAAAAAAATAAAATTCAATTTCTAATTTTTAGAGTAAGATGTATCAAGTTAACCAAGCATTCACCAGAAATCTTATTTATCTGTTTGTTTTATTTTATTCTAAATGATGTGTATGGCTGTCCAACTTGCAAAATGTGACTCTGAGCAGCTAACATGGGATTAAAAACAAAATAAGATAAGCAATAAATATAAAAGAACCACAGCAATGCATTATAAAAGAACACAGAGGCCAAAACCCACAACATATTCAAAACCTTAAAGCAATTTTCTATGTGGGCTTATCCAACATTCCAAACGAGTGTGCTTGGGAGGAAAATCAAGTTTTAAAACAATATGGAAGGCCAGCAGGATTGTAGCCATCTGAATCTCAGTGCCTCTGGGTTTCATTAGATGCAATTGTTTCACGGAGGTGACCTCTTTATCAGATCTTGTGGGATAGGCAGACTTAATCAGAGACTGATGGTCCTACAAATAACCAGGTGATAACCAGCATCATGAACTGCACCCAGAAGCCTACGTGAAGCCAGTGCAGCTCACAAAGTAGTGGTATTACATGGGTTTACTATTATAAGCCTGTAACTACCCATGCCACTGCATTCTGGGCCAACTGTAGCTTCTGGGTAGTATTCAAGACCAGTTCCATGTAAAGTACATTTTAATAGTCCAAGCATGATCAAGGCATGAGTGACCCTTGAGCAGGGTCTCCCAATCCAGGATTAGGCACAACTGGCACACAAGAAGGAGTTGCACAAAGGCTACAGTTGTTCTTCCCTATTCAGATCCCACATAGCCTCCAGACATTGGGAAAGATTCTTAACAGCATAACTTGGTTCACCTGGAGTAGTAGTATGAGTAGTAATATCAGCAGCTTACTGATGATACTTAACTCTGTACCAACAGATGACCTCATCCAGCAGCTTTATGCAGGTGTTGAATAGGAACAGAGAGAGATTACAGCCCCCAGGAACACTGAAAAGCATAGGTCTAGGGCTAGACCCCTCTCTTCTACCACCACCAACTGGAACTGACCCTGAAGGAGGAAAACCACTACACACCATGACCCCCACTACCAACCCAAAGCAGAAGCATACCATGACTGATAGTATCAAAAGCCTCTGAGAGACCAAGGAGGGCCAGGATGGATGTACCATCCACATCTACAAATATACACAATACCATCTCTATGCTACATTTTTATCTGAAATCATAATGCCAAGTCCAAATACTACATTTCCTCCAGGGTCCTCTGGAGCTGCAAGCTGACCACCTCCTAAAAAATCTCTTCTAAAGAGGGAAGGTTAGACACAGGAAGAAAATTTTCCAGAACCACTGGATCCAGGGATGGTTTCTTGATGAGGGGGCAGACCATGGTCTCTTTAAGAGGCTGCAGAATTACTCCCTCCCTGAGGGATGTATTCAATACTACCACCTAGTTCCAATCGTATATTGTTTCCCAGGAAGCCTTAACCAGCCAGGAGAGATATTGACATAATATATAGGTGGCCATGCTTACAGTCTGGGAGACTCTGTCCATTTCTTTCAGACCAACAGGTTTGAATGCTTCCCAGATAACCATGCTAAACCATGCCTTGATCAGTTCCAAAAGACCTGCACAGCTGAGTCTAACTGAGAGTGGATCTGAACAATTTTATTCAACAGAAGTCTCAAATAGTTTTCATAGTAGCAACTGTTTCCCAGGCCCATCTCTACCTAGGAGGGACTAAGTCACTTTGAACAGGGCCACTGGATGACTTTCTGCAGACACAATAAGAGCTGAGAAATAATCACATTTCACTGCTCTTACTGTCACAAGATAATTCTTAATAAAGGATTTTACTTATGCTTGAATGGATTTGCTCTTAGTTTTTTTCCATTGGCTCTCTATGTATCTTTTTTGCCACTTCATCTCCCAGATCATTTTTGAATATCAGTTTGCTTTCCAGGATCTATGAAGAGAAAGAGTCTCCATAGGCAGGATTTAATTCAAGGTTACCATCACTGCTTCTCATTCTAGGCAGTGACTAAGGCCTCAATCAAACCATGCACCAGAGCTTCAAGAACAAACCCAAGCTCCCTCTGGAACCCCATAGGATCCAATAGGTGCTTGGAGCAGACTGATCAAATAGGTCCTTTGGGAGTAGCTGCAAAGAACTCCAAGGCCAAAAGAGAATGATCTAATCGTGACATGGTACTGAAGGTAACATACATGTAAATTAATATATAAATGGATAAATGCTAGATGGCCTGCCTACTCACCCAAGGATCAGATGAATTCAGTGCTATTCTAAATCTGTTAATGCAGCCATTCTGTAATGCTTGCACTCCAATTATTTCAGGGCTTGCAGACCAAAGGAAGAGTGTAATAGCTGTAAGCATACTTACTTCATCTAAGGTAGGCTTGGAGGCTTCTGGGGGAAAAAACAAAAAGATGCTAAAAACTTACACCAAACAGAGTTTGGGACAGGGAAATATAATAGCTATTTTCAAGGGTGAGGATTCTGAAAAATATGCAATGTTCCTGATTTCAAAAGTAATATAAAGTTTTACAGGACAATTTATCCAAACATTTTTTGTGATTAAACAATAATGCTGTAATATAAATCAAAGTGGTACTAAGGCAGTAAGGAGATATTCTGTTAACTTTTTGAAAAATAAATTTTGAATGAACTGAACTATATGAAATTTTAAAAGTGACATTCTACAATGCTTACTGAATTTGTTTATTTGTCAAATTAATTCCCACTCTTGGCTAATAAAAAGCAGAATTGCACATGCACGTGAATTCCTTCAGCATATATGGAAAAATGAACACTGTAGACATTAAAGAAGATTCTGAACTCTGTAGCATTGTTCCATCAAAAATGTGAATACAATAGTATATGTGTTGAATTCCATACTCCATTCCATAAATCTAAAACATGCAGTAAGGTGACATAATTGCATAAGATTCATTTCCTATGACAAACCAGCTAGTTTTGCTTCATTTTAAAAAGAAGCTCCAGTGATTGCATGCAAATTACCTGGCTGAGAGTATTCCAAGATTGAGGCTAAGGTGCTGCGGATAAGATTTGTCCACTGTTTATGAATATTCTCATTCATGGTCATTGGAAGGGTTACTATGTTTTTCAGTCCCTGAAGTGCTGCACTGACTGGTGGTAGGACCTGATTTCCCACAGTTTTTACAGCAGTATCTTTCAACACTTGTATTATTAGAAATAGGATAGTGGGCAATATAGTCATGGATCCTAAAACATAAAATAATTTTATATCATATACTTTCCGAATAATGCACAAGAGGCATGATCAATGCCAGACACAAAGTATTCATGAGCAGCTAACACCTGGGCTTCTTTTGTGAAAATGTCCCATTATTTGGGCAGTATATCATCCATCCATCCATCCATCCATCCATCCATCCATCCATCCATCCATCCATCCATCCATCCATCCATCCATCCATCCATCCATCCATCCATCCATCCATCCATCCATCCATCCATCCATCCATCCATCCATCCATCCATCCATCCATCCATCCATCCATCCATCCATCCATCCATCCATCCGATTTATATGACTGCCCATCTCATCTAAACGACTCTGGGCAGCTCACAACATGTAAAAAACAATCCAATAAAAACAAGTTAAAAAACCAATATACATGGCAGCAGAGCCATGTCTTCAGGGCCTTCCGAAAGGCTGGGAGGGTTAGGGCCAATCTAAGGACTGGGGGGGGGGGGGGGGGGGGGGGTTCCACGGCTCAGGTACCACAGCAGAAAAGGCTCTCTTCCTGGGTCCTGCCAGATGACACTCTTTCATGAAGGGGACCTGTAACATGCCTCCCTTGACAGTCCTGATGGTGAGTAGATGTAATGGGGAGAGGCAGTCTCTCAAATTACCTGGTCCCATGCCATATAGGGCTTTATAAATCACAACCAGTACCTTGAATTGAACCCAGAAGCATACTGGCAACCAATGCAGCTTGGGGAGCAGAGTTGTATAATGTACACTGATCAAGGAATGCACATAACTGCCTGCACTGCCGCATTCTGTACCAGCTGTAACTTTTGGATGCTCTTCGAGAGCAGCCCCATGTAAAGCGCATTACAGTAATCTGTTCAAGAGGTGACCAGAGCAAGAATGACTGTGAGCAGAGCCTCCTGATCCAGGAATGGGTACAACTGGCACACGACAGAGAGTTGAACAAAGGCCCCTTGGCCACGGCTGCCACCTGCTCTTCAAACAGGAGCCGTGAGCCCAGGAGAACCCCCAGACTGTGCACTGGGTCTGTTTGGGGCAGTACTACCTCACCCAGTATGATTTGAAGTGTGCATGGGTGCACTTGTAAGCAACTCCTTAAAGAAACTACATCTTTTTTCTGAGATTATGCACGAATGCTGGAAAAGATGTGTTTGATTTAGGGAGGTGCTGAATGATGTGATTATGCATGCCCATGCACAGACCAAGTTAGTTTTTCTCTTTCAAATCCAGGTCATTGATTAGTCCTATTAAATATTAACCAATGAAGAAATACAGGAAAGTAGACACATGGCAAAAAACTTGCACATAGGAGACATGCCACAGATAAGTAGTGGCAGGAGATTAATGTGGTTAATGCCTTTTTTTGTAAAGGAGTAACAAAGATTGTTGTAAAGAAAAGGAAACGTCAGAAACTGCAGTCAAGGAATCTAGGAACTCTTAAAAAAGAAAACACTATCTTAAGCCTGCCCAGATGTCTCAAAGACCTATTGAAGAATGGTGAAACAAACGTTAAGATCAATTTTAGATTTCTATGCACATTTTTGTTCATTCTATCACTAAGCAATGTTCTGTCCATTATTAATTGTCATACCACTTCCTAAACTCCTGCTGCCTCCTTAAACACTCTCCATGTGCTTTGTTTTGTTTAAACTTGGGCTTTTCATTTCACTGTAAAGGATTAACATTTTGTGGAACCCACTGATTAAATTTTGAGAAAGATCTATTATACTACCAGCTGGGGAACAAAGAGTGGGTAGATCAGACAGGATGGCAACAGTGGCAGCCACGAGACGAGCACTTTCTTCTGGGAGCTGGGTTCTGCTGAGTGTATGACTTGGAGAATCTGACATTTTTGTGCTCAGATGTGGCATGTGTCGCACAAGGATAAACATTAGCAGTTCCATAGCAGCAAATACAAGAGATTTTCCTGGCACAAGACCACCGCTGTCTCCTCCTTCACCCAGCCCACAGCTACTGTCTTTTTCTTTTGCATCTTCTTCATCTAGAAAGACAAAAAATTGAGTAAAAATACACTAATATGAAATTCATGGCAGACATTTTAGAAAAGGCTATCAAATGTACATGTTAAAAACTGAGTTTAAATGAAGATGCACACTATTCTTGCTGTAATGCAATCAACTAAAATGGAGATTCAGTAATAGTCAATAGCTTATAGATTCTATTTGGTTTTTGTAGAAACTGGTGAAAACAGGACCAGAGATGACAGAAAATATATACTATTATGCAAATAAAACATGAAATGGTATTAATACATACTCTTTAAATCAGTAAGAGATAAATACTGAGCAACCAATTTTTTTTGCTTTGCTTCTATCATAAATTGCATCAATGCATATCAAATTATTCCATTTAGATTAGCTTTAGTTTTATTCTTATTTCCTCTGTACAAAGTAAAAAAACCAAGCAAATGAAGAAAAAAATATACCCAAACCTATATGTATAAAGCTAAATGTGACAGGTTTATTTATTTTTTTCTGGCAAAAAGGGAGAATAAAAAGTTGTTCAACATTTTAAGTTGCTTTTCTTATATTTTGCATGTGGCAATTCACCTCATATCCATGAAGTTCTTTTTGAATGACAATTTAAAAAAACATACAGGATACAAAAAACATGAGAGGACATCAAGTCCTTTCATGAACAATCTCCCTTAGAATTCTAAATAGTTTGTCAGGCTTGGCACTGAATTGTTTTCTTTCTCAACTTTCTAATTTTCTGCTCTCTTAATTGTTTTGTTAATTTTTTAAAATTTAAAATGATGTGTAACTGCTATGAAAGCTATATTTTAATTAGCCAAAATACATATATCAAAATAAATTTAAAATGCCATACATAAAGGAAGATTGCAGCATTTCAGAGCCAAAAGTATTTTATTAAAGATATTTGTTTTTAATCCTGCAAATGTACCTGGACATATTCTAAATATTTTGTAAATTCCAAAATGAACATCCAGAACCAGGGCAAACATTGGCCAATTAAGCCAATACATGATACAAGGGGACATTTTTACATGGCCTATTTTGTTATTTCTCCAACCTGTAAATCTGTAGCATGAAAAACAACATGTATCTCTTACTCAAAGTATTTCTTTTTTCTTGTAAATGATCCTGAGCAGCTCTTACAATCTGTTGCACAACTTCTGTAACTAAGAGTTGGACTGAAGGAGGGTTGCAGGTCAACAAGAGTCGATGCAGCACGCTCAGAAGTTCAACACCAAGTAGCTTAAAAAAATGAATTATAAGCAACGATACAGATTTTCAGACAATAAAGACATTTGCAATATTCTGTACTATTTTTGATAATCTCTTCTAGTCTCTCATTTAATCTTCATTTGAAAGATTGTTCAAAGCAGTGATCATTTTAAGCATATAATTATCAAGGGCATAATTTTCTCAACTTCCAAATATTTAACTTCTTCAACTAATTTGTTTGTACACCTATTAAAATGAAACCATTGCCTTTCATTGCTTCTGAATGCCTTGGTTAGCATTTTATTGTTAGAAGTCTAAAATAATGATCTGATATTCAATTCTATTTTTGTCTTAATAATTATTGAGAAAAATAAGAGAAGACATCCACTAATATTTCACAAACACTTCCAGTCCATGAAAATTACATTTTCCTGTTCAATTTTCTGCATGCTTAGAGGGGACTACAATAATTTGTCTGCAACATACCTGATCTTCTGCAATATGGGTTCTAGCACAAGATGAATCTAGTAAAGTGTGCAGTGCTTGCAAACAGGACATAACATGTTCAACAGGCTCTTCTGGTCGAGGAGAACAGAGAAACTGTATGCTAACACCTGGGGAGCAAATTACTTTAAGTTTATATATTGGTAAAGTGGTATTTTTGCAGATTTTAATGCATACATGAAGTATTGGTCCTAACAGTTTTTACATACAGAAACTGTATAATAAAACTTCAATTTTTAGCTTCAGCAAGGCAGTATTTTCACACACTACAAAGAAAGATTTGGGTATTCTTGGAAACTAGAATAGTTCTAATACTTCCATAAACCATTACAAATAGTAATACTGCTATTTGGTAATGTGTGAGAGGACAACAGATGCACTACATATTTCTGTAATATACTGAAAAGCATTACCTAAAATCAAGTGCATTCTATCTTTATTTATTTCTTGCAAAGTTTTGGCGGAAGATGGCGTTTCTGATGCTGGATTTAACATTATAGACATGGCATGCTTTTGTGGAGGTGTTGCTGCTGATGCATCTTCTGTTGCTTCACAGGCATTAAATCCTGTACTGTTTAGCCATAGTGCAATTGCATGTAGAATTGGGGTCCATGAATTTCGATAATGCAGTCTAGCTGTATCAATTGTCTCAGGAGTGTAAAACGCTCCACCTGTTAAATAATCATAATGCGTTTTTAATATGGAATGGAGAGAGTAAGAAATATGCTATCATTATTAATACATGTTTCTAATATATGCCTCAAGACACAGATACACCTGATCTATCTTGTCTGGGCTTGGAAGATAAACACAGTTGGACCTCATTGGTACTTGGATGGGAGACACCAATGAATATCACACCTGTAAGCTAACCTGAGCTGTTGAAAAATATCCTGGAAAGCAGCAGTGGGAAATCACTGTCACACTGTTCTCAAGAAAATTACATACACAGTTCTATCGATGTACTAAACCAGGAGTCAAACCAAACTCAAGGGAATCTTTACAATATAGGTGGTCCTCCCTGCATGGTTTCCCATATCCATGGTAGATAATTAGAGACTTCAACATGTGTGTAAAGATTTTCATTGGGCCAGTCCAGTCACAAGGTTCCAAGCAGCTTTTGTGTGGCGGCTGGCTTTCTCCTTTAGAGCATCTTGCTTGGCTGATGATGAAATGTTTTGCCCTTTTCACACCACATGGCTTGTGGTGTTTTTTCTACTCTGTATAGCTCTGTCATAATCTTGATCCACTGTGGGAAGCTGGTTCCCCAGTTGCCTCAGGATGACCGAGGCAGCATTAGAGTCCAATAGTGTTCACCGTGAGCCATCTACAAGCAGTACTAGCATCCAGTGGAGCCTGGATTGTGCCAATGGATGAAACTGCTGTCTGCAAACTGATTGCGCCAAACTCTCAATTGCACCATGGACCACTAGTGCTGTTCACAGACTACTCACAGCTTGCTCCAACTGCTGAGTGGTCTGCAAGCAGCACTAGCAGCAGAATCAAGTGGTCCTTCTACTGAGATTGTGAAAGAGCAATGTGGGATGGAGAAGCCAGGGTGAGCCATGTGGCACAAATGAGGCTGAATGAGCTGTTCCAAAGAAGAAAGCCAAGTGCCACAAGAAAGCCACATGGAGCCCCACAATCCAGCAAGTTCCACTGTGACTAAGCAAGGAGGAACAGGAGCAAATACAAGTACATTATAAAAACTAGTGGTGTGGGAGGAAGTCTTCTGGGAAGAAGAGGATGACCAAAGGCTCCAATTCCCATATAAGTACAGTAATGGCTTGATATTCAGTGTCATAATCCACCCTTTTACATTGGAACAGAACCCTTATAAATGTATGCATTTTTGGATTGCTACTAATACATCTGCGCATATTAGGGGTATAAGACAAACTTCTGTAGCTTATATACAGTCAGAATTCATGATGTGACTGCTTGATATGATTCCAGTATATCATACTGATTGTCTAATTATCAGAAAAGTTGAACTACTGACATCACTTCTGTTTACCAATCTGTTTCATGCATGAGGACTTGAAGATTAGTGCATGATTAAAGTTCATTTAAAACCATTGTATTTGAAAGGGAGATGATATAAAAAATCTTGCTGATATGTCATGGCTCATTCATAAATTGCAAACATTGAGTAACTAACTTATAAACAGCAGTTTTTAATCAGGAGTTAGAATGTTTTTTTCTTGATAACTGCAGTGAGACTTTTATATGCGCAAAAACGGAAGGACTCACAAATATCTACAGCTGAAGAATGGATATTGAAATTAATGGAATTGGCAAAACTGACTACTTTGCTCAAAGAGAGGGCACTGTCTGTTTCTAATTGGAAACCACTCTTAGATTTTTTTGCTTGATACTCAAAAAAATGCAATTTTGATTTTGGGATTTAATGATTGATGTTATAGAAATATCTTGTACAAATTATATGTATTATTGAAATAGATTGATTTTAGGATTTTCTTGAATATTAGATTAAAAACTACTTTTTATTATGTAAACTTTTAGATATTAGAGTAAGAGGTGAATATATTTTACATTTATACCTGTACGAAGGAAAGTCGGAAGCTACTCTTTTTTTTCTATGTATTTTTCTTTTTTTCTTTTTCCTTGATTTTTCTGTATTTTAACTCTTTTTGAAAATATTTTTTTTTTAAGATTTTTTTTTCTATACCTTCTATACCTTTTCTATACCTATACCTTCCCTCTCAGCCCAAGTACTTTTGAGCAAAAGTGATTGCACCCTTGTGTTTTTGCAATGTTCTGTCATATTGGAAATGATAGCAAAGTAAATATATTGATAATGTTGAGCTTTTTACATTTGTAACTGGATTCTGAATAAAACTTGTGCCTTACCGTCTGGAGGAAGCTGACTTGCAAATTCAGCTGGTAATGTCAAAAGGGCATAGTCTTTAAGGGCAGCTAACCAGAGACGGCTAAGAGTGGGCAACTCTGGTTGAACAAGTATTATTAAACTGTCTGGTGGCAGCTCATCTACTGTGCCATAATCATCGTCATCCTCATCTCCTCCATTTTTTACTGCTTTCTTTGGTTTGATCTCTGCTTCTTTTTTAATCTTCATAGCCACAACATATACCTTTAGATAAGGTGCATGCAACATATTATTAATTGTGTAGAGAATACAAAATATGTCTTACATATAATTAATGGTGCCTTTTGTAGCATAAAAAGCATAGTTCATTAAATTATGCAAACAACTAGGTACACCTTTCATTAAATCAAACTCTGTAACAAGATCATTCAATTCATTAAGATGAAGTGGTGAATTGTACAATATGCTTTCAAGACTATTCTGAAAGCTATTTGGGTTCAATACCTTTTCTCCCTTTAAGATAACATTTGCAGACTGCTTTGTGTGCAGTATCAAGAAAACTTTTCCTACTGCTCAGTATAATTTGAAATAATGGAGTACATGCCTAACTCTGGTTACTATAACAAACTTACAGAGAATTTAGCTGGTCATCTGAATTATTCTAACTAGTACCATTATACATACTGTAAATAAAGTGTCTAAATACAATTATACAACAGGAAAATTTTAATAATCACTTTTTTAATCAGACAAATCAGTTTTACAAGCCCTCTCATATTCATTCTCACCACAATCCAAGAAAATAGCCCATTATTTTGTTGACTGATTTGCATTCAGGGAACAGAGGCTGAGATAAGGATGTTATCTAAGATCAGCTAGCAAGTCTGTACCTGCAATATATTTCACTTAAAAACGTGGCATACCATAATAAGCTAGCTCCCAATTATTATATTTTAGGTGTGCATTAAATTTTTTATAAGAAATGGACTACTTTAACATGTCTTAGGAAATTAGCCTGATTTACATGGGCTTAAAGCGTAATACCAGTATTTTTCAATTGAATTTAGACTCAATAACCGTGAGGTAAAAAAAAAACTTTCAAAATTGCTGAATTAGAAATTTTAAATGAAGATGTATAAAAGAAAATTGAGAACTTAGGATTTTGGTAGGAGCTCTACATTATACCATAACATACATTTATAAAGGCAGGGCTCTCCCCCAACACCGCCCTTTTTTTTTCCTTAATTCTCAAGATCCCCAATGGGAATAAAATTTTAATGGATCAAAACTAAGGTAAACTAAACTCAAACCCAAGTGTAAAGGACAACAGATTGGGAATTTACAGAACCAGAGCTACAGATAAAAATCAGTAATCAATTCTCCATTGTGATCTCTGTACACATATAGGTGATTGGCAAGTTAATGTACCTTGGGAAGTGAAATGTGTAATACAGCATATAGGATAGCTCTGTCAGAAGCTGCATACTATTAAAACAAAAAATCCAATGGATAGTGCCTGATAAACATGGGTGATTTCAATCAGAAGATAGAGGGCAAATCTCAGGCAACAATGCACTTTTCCAAGGCCATTTAAGATCCACTACCCTCATCAAATGACTCTGAACATCTACAGAATATGGACATTAGTTAGATCATAATAAAGTCTGGCAGTGTTATGAGTCATTTAGCAAAATGTTGGAAATAAACTGAAGTACTTTCCCTACAGTTAAAATATGAAAGTGACAACCTTATAGAGGATATAATACTAACAAACACAAATGCCATATAGTCCATCCAGGATCAAGAATTTGGGAGGAACTGCTCAGTAGGGTCAGAAAAAACATGGCTCTGGAGCAGATGAAATTCAGACACATCTTTGGGCAAAAAAATCTCTGCATAAATGACTATCTTGTCCTTATGAACAATCAAATAGGGTTCATCTGAATGGAGGACACAGTCAAGCTGAAATGTTATGCTATGACATGCCATGTTGAGTCAGAAAATGAAGAAGACATGCTCTAGAGGCTAATGAGCAACACAAAACATGGATAATACTGGAGATAACTTTTAAGTAGAGGACATCCTATACATTAGGGAGGAAATAAGTTTGCTAAACTTTTTCAAAACTGTGGCAGGTGTGGGTCTTCCGGGCTGTGTGGCCGTGTTCTGGAAGTTTTGTTTCCTAACATTTCACCAGCATCTGTGACCGGCATCTTCAGAGAGCAGGAGCACAGACAGGAGCAGTTCTCTCTGGCAGGTGTGGGTCTTCCGGGCTGTGTGGCCGTGTTCTGGAAGTTTTGTTTCCTAACATTTCACCAGCATCTGTGACCGGCATCTTCAGAGAGCAGGAGCACAGACAGGAGCAGTTCTCTCTGTGCCCAGCAACTGCTCCTGTCTGTGCTCCTGCTCTCTGAAGATGCCGGTCACAGACGCTGGCGAAACGTTAGGAAACAAAACTTCCAGAACACGGCCACACAGCCCGGAAGACCCACACCAGCCATTGTATTCCGGCTGTGAAAGCCTTCGACAATACATTTTTCAAAACTGTTTCACAATTGGGTGAAGAAAAAAACAGTAGAGCAATCCATTAGGGCTACTGAAATTGCCACAAGATTGATCCCTAGCTGAAAGCATAATCTCCATTAATAAACATGAAAGTAGCCAGTCTAGATAGTCAGTCAAATTGTGGTATAGAGATCTGGTCTGGTTGAGAGGCAAATACTTTCCTGGGAGTAATGGACAAGGATGATGGCCTAATGATTAGGGAGGCCATCGCAGCATCAATAGAATAGCGTCAGGTCTGCCCTGAAGGATTTTGGGGAATCCATGATAACAGAGGAAAGAGATACAAGAAACTTTGCGGCCAACGGAATCATAACACACTTCCTAGAGAGTAATGACCAAAACCACTTATGCTGAAACAGGAGAATAACTATTGACATAGATGGTGCAGATCCTATTATTGATTATGTCCTATTATTAGAGTCCTCCAGTAAGAAAAGCAGGAGGCCAAGACTGAAGCATGAAGTTTCTATTTGTGCACTGTCATTGTCAGTGCCTCAAGAAGCCTGCCAATACATTGCCCTATTCTATCATAAAAGTGTACACAGCTGCTATAAAAGAGAAAGCATAAAATGATGTATAGTCACTAGAACCTGGGGAACTGCACCAACATGCAAGTCATCAGTTTCAGTGATCTTGCTGTTGTCTGGATGAAACCTATCTGTAGTGCCTATCACAATCCCAGTAATGGGAGCAAACTTTGCATGAATGATGGCATCCTGAGAAAAGACAGCTATTTCAGAATAACAACTGCACCTGAAAGTACATGCCAGATAGATAGAAGGGCCAATCATAATCTGGTTGAGATAGACAAGCTGGAAACTAGGACCCATGTCAGTTCTGACAGTAAGAAACATAGTGACATTATAACAGCTTGTTTTGCTCTGTCAACATGACAGTTTAATCTGAAAGTTATTTTTCCCACATTTCCTATGTTTTAGTAGTGTTTTTGCCTTGCACTTTTGAGCTTGGAGCTAGGCTGGTTGTTGATTGTTGACATAACTGACATTTCTGCCTTGAGAAATTCTGGCTGAATAATGTCACATTGGAGACTAATCACTGACCAGCTGGACATCTGGAGATATAAAGGATGAAGAGAGGCGGAGGCTTTCAGACTGAGGGAGCCAACACAGAATCCATGTGTGAATCACAATAACCACAACAATAAGTAATAATTGTTCTTTCTCTGCAACCTCAAATACCCACCATCACTATTTCAAAGTGTTACCCAACCCTGTGGAACAGACTCAGAGCTGGAATTGAGTACTGCTGGCAAGAAGAGAACTGATGGGGATTTCTTCCTCCCCCATTCTGCCAGTGAAAATACTCAGCTAGGCTGAAAATCTTCCAAGTATCATTCAAGTAATTGTTTTGTGCTTAAAATCTAAAAAAATAGATGTTGTTTGTAACAAGAGTAAGCAAGTGTAATTTTGTTAATTAGCAATTTTGGCTGCATTCTATGCTATGAAATCAAGAGAGGTACAGCAGGGAACTACAGAATATTTGCACTGAATGCATTCTTCAGTCCACAGGAAAGCCAGAATAACTAATTGCTAGATTATAATTGCTAAACATTTACCTCTGCCCAGGCCTTGAGTACTGCCAGTTTTTCCATAGTAGTAGCACTCTCCCTATAAAGCTGGCTGGAAGACCCTTTTCCTGTTTGTACTTTATCCAAAGAAGAGACAAGGAGGTTGTGAACACGCCGAAGGTCATTAAGGTCACTTACTACTCCACTTCCAATCCAAGTGCTGCACACCTAAAAATCAATATAAGCATGGATCCAGTAACATGTCAGTTGAAATCTCATCCCAGCCATGAAGTTCACAGGGTGAGTTATTAACTTAGACCATCTAACAAAGATATACAAAAATAAAATACAGCATTGAATATTTAAGGAAACTCTAAGTTGGTCTGCAGAGGTATCCAAGATGGGTTACTTGCTTCTACTTGCTCAAAAGATAGGGAACTGTACATCTTTTCCTACTAAATCCTCTCCTATAAAGCTCCTTCACAGTTTCACACTTTGGTTCAGCATGCAAATATAGCATGGAAAACAACCCAACTGAAAAATACTTACAGCAAAATATGGTACCCTTACTGGCAAGAGATTGGGAGAAAGGACTACAATGGGCCAGGCTGATATGACCATCTTCAATAATTCCAGTCCTGATAAGGATTAGACACTGCTCAAGAAGATGGAAGAAGTACCACAGGAAATAAAGAGCTAACTTGGTGGTTCCAAGCCAGTTAATTCTGTGCAGTTATTTGCTTTATTCAGTAATATCTATCTATCTATCTATCTATCTATCTATCTATCTATCTATCTATCTATCTATTTTGCTCTCCAATATAAGAAGTTGATATCTACTCTCCAGAAGGAATCCCTTAACAAAAAATACCTTAATATGATTGGAAGGGCTGGATAACTCTATAAAAATGAGGTCGAAAGCAAATGATGACTTAACTTTGGATCTTAGTGAGCATTTGCTGTCACCATTTAAAGTGACCTTCACCCTTTATGTACATAACGTTTAATCTGCTCAAATGTCTTATATATAACTTATCTTCCAAATATTTCAGTAATGTAGTTTTATAGGCATTGGGAGAATTGGGAGAATGACAAGTTTCCTCACTTTTTTCCTTTTCCTCACACCCATTTGCATGGTAAGAAATATGCTTAGTATAAAGTATCCTTTTGCTTGTTTCATGAGAATATAAATTCTGCCCTCCCGTCATCATGAATTTTTATAGTCCTTTTATGTATATAGTCTTTTTATAAAGTATTATTTTTTTAGCTAATTTAATGTGGATGTTTATATTTTTTACTGTTTTTAATGTTTGATTTTAACTGTGAGCCACCCAGAGTCACCCTCTGGGGGAGATGGGTGGCATATAAATGTAATAAATAAATAATAAATAAATACTTTCTCCAAACCTAGGACTATTACAGTCATTAATACAAAATTTTAACATCTACACAAAGTTCTTTGTCTCCCTTAATTTTTATGCAATTTGACAAACATATGAGTTTTTCAATAGAAAAGCCTTTTTAAACTTGTCTTATCTTAGTTCCTTTCCAAACTTTAATTGCAATGTTTTAATTTTTTCCCTTCCCTGCCTTCACTTCAAACTTTGCACAATTAAGGCTTTTCTTTAACCCCTTCTATATTTTACGTTCCTTTTTTCTCTGATTTCATGACAGAAAAATTAAAAGTGAAGGAAGACAGAGAAATCTGGTAATTTTGTGAGAACTATCAGTATTGAAGACAGGTCAAGCAAGAGTGCTCTGTCATGGAATTGGTTCTGCTGGTAAGAAAGTTTGACGAATTTGCTTCTGTTGTTGGCTATGCAAGGAACCTAATAAACTCTCTATAAAGAACTCATATTTTTTAAAAAGTACACTTATAAAGACTCTTGGTTAAAACCCATATTGCCTGGTTAAAACCCATATTGAGTGGAGTGTTCATTGGAGAATTTCCATATAACAATATCCAGAAAGCCAGTTGCATTATACTTGGTTTCCTGCATGAGAATGGTTGACATTTACTGTAAAGAATCTAATGAATCGCACAGTAATATTTTTCTGATGTATATAACATTCTTTTGGCAATTGTCAAAAAGAAATCTTCCTCCACTCAACTGAATTTTTATGAGCTCTTATTCAGGCATTTAGCTTAGGCCTATTTAGCTTCAGCATAGCTACTGACCATATAACTTCTGACCATGCCTTCCTTTTCTTATTATTGAGTAGCAGACATTCTGATCTTACTATCTTTTGAAAAGATGTTGATATTAAAACATTCTGAAAAATCAGTGAATATTCTGGAAAACCTATCCGATTACTCTTAAGGAACAAAGTGTACATCTTTTTAACTGAGACACTCCTATTCCTACTTTATTTATTTATTTATTTTTATTTATTATTAAACTTGTACACCACCCATCTCCCCCAACGGGTGACTCTGGGCGGCTCACAATAACAGAAAAGGAAAAAACATCAATTCCTCCAACAATGGCTAAAATCCATAAATAATTAAAATAGAAACATACATTAAAAATGTCCT